AGAGAGAGAGAGAGAGAGAGAGAGAGAGAGAGAGAGAGAGAGAGAGAGAGAGAGAGAGAGAGAGAGAGAGAACTGGCAATAGAATTGAAAAGGTTACCCTCTCCATTTTACTTTCTAGGAACATCTATCATTGCTGCACCAGCTACAACAACGCGCTGGCACTCAGATGTACAATTGAACGATGGGAATTAGCAAGAAGAGAATGTCAAGTATTTTATGATGGCGTCAAAAGGATACACAATCCAACAACCGAGGCAAAGACACGTACAATATAATCCGGCAATGTAGATAATTTTGAAGGATGTTAAATCCAGCAATCGAGAATGAAGGATTAATAATCTGCGCATGGAAATAGCCTATGAGGAAGTAAGAGTGAAAACAACGGAAGTACTGAGGGGGTTGACAGAAGAAGGGGGTGAAGGCCGGGGGTGTCAGGGGGAGGGGAGGGAGGGGGAGGGAAGGAGAGCACGGGAGAATAGGGTGGGAATTAGAAGAAAGGCATAAACAGGACAGCATCTATTGTGCAAATGCTTGCTGGATAGAGAGCATATATCCCAAAAAAGAGAGTAGGAAAGCGGCAAGCAAACCCTTAGCTGCCCTGCTTTCTCTCTTTCTTAATTTAGATTAGGAAGGAGAGGAGGGGGGCAAGCAAACCCTTAGGTGCCCTGCTTTCCACCATAACTGCCATATTGTTATTATAGAGAACATTAGAGATAGTAATGTAACGTAATCATAGGACTTAATGCCATCACTTACCTATGTCCCAAAATAATAATGGCAGGGGATGGAGGGAGAAAGACAGACCTAACTGCCCTGGTTTCCACCATAATTATCCATCCCATTATCATTGAAGCTATATTGACTTATCATATGACAAACAGTTGTTTCCTATCATCATAGGATACAACACAGCTCGAAGGCCCGCCATGATGTCATCAACAAGGGGGAAAAGTTCATGTGAATGACAAGGATGTTAGATGACATGGATGATTAGATGTCGTGGAAGATTTGATGGCGTGGACAATGACGGTGAGCATCATGTCACTGATGACAACGACGATGTTCCGAACCATGACTTGGACAGCCTGGACCATGACCTCGGCTACGACATGGACCATGACCTAAGCGACCACGTGGACCATGACCTAGGCAACCACGTGGACCATGACCAACACGACCACATGGACCATGATGTGGCTTTCTATCATGACGTGGATATGAGCTGGACAATATGACATAGACAACTGGACCAAGACCTAGGCAACCACATGGACCATGACCAAGGCGGCCACATGGACCATGGCGTGGTTTTCTATCATGATGCATGATCTGGACGACGACTTAGACGTGGACCATGACCTAGACAACCGCGTGGACCATGACCTAGGAGACACATGGACCATGACGTGGACCATGACCTAGGAGACACATGGACCATGATGTGGACCATGACCTAGGAGACACATGGACCATGACGTGGACCATGACATGGTTTTCAATTATGATGTAGATATGATTTTGCCAATGACTTGAACAACGTGGGCCATGATCTTTGGCCACGACGTGGACCATGACCCAGGCCATCACATGGACCATGACCTAGGCAACCATATGGACCATCATGTGGTTTTTTATCATGATGTGGATATGATCTGTCGACGATGACTTAGACAATGTGGACCATGACCTGCACGACCATGTGGACCACGGCCTAGGCACCCACATCGACCATGACCTACGTGACCACGTTGACCATGACCTAGGCAACCACGTGGACCACAACCTAGGCAACCGTGTGGACCAAAACCTAAACAACACGTTGACCATGACCTTGGCAACCATGTGGACCGTGACATTGTTTTCTATAATGATATGGATATGATTTGCATGATGACTTAGATAATATGGACCATGACCTAGGCGACCATGTGGACCATGACCTAGGCAACCATGTGGACCTAGGCAACCACGTGGTCCAACCATGTGGACCTAGGTGACCACGTGGTCCATGACCTACGCCACCACATGGGCAATGACGTGGTTTCCTTTCATGATACGATTATGATCTGGAAGATGACTTAGACAACATGGACCATGACCAGGCAACCACGTGGACCATGACCTAGGAGACACATGGACCATGACCTGGAACATGACATGATTTTCTATCATGATGAGGATATGATTTGGACGATGACATGAACAATGTGGACCATGACCTAGGCCACCATGTGGAGACCATGTGGACCATCATGACCTAGGTGACCACATGGACCATGCATGGACCATTACGTGGCTTTCTATCATGATGTGGATATGATCTGCGGACGATGACTTAGACAACCTGGACCAGGACCTAGGGAACAACATGGACCATGACTTAGGCGACCATGTGGACCATGATCTAGGCGACCACATTGATCATGACCTAGGCGATCGCATGGGCCACGACCTAAACAACACATTGACCATGACCTGGATGACCACGTGGACCATGACATGGTTTTCTACCATGATGTGCATATGATTTGGACAATTGACTTAGACAACATGGATCATGAACCAGACGACCACGTGGACCTAGGCCTCCATGTGGACCACGGCCTACCGTCATCACCCAAATAAAACGCCTGGTAATTATCGTTGCACCTGGACAGAAAGGTGTGCCAAATGCAGCTATAGTGACCAGGCATTCTACTCAGGAAACGGTAGACGGCCACATGGACAATGACCCAGACGACTTCTTAGAATAGATAGACCATGACGGGGTTTCTATCACGACGTGGATATTTATCGAAAATGCCTTAGACAACACGGACCACGACCAAGCGACTGCGTGGACCATGACCTAGGCATCCACCATGACCTGGGCATCCATGTGGACCATGACCTAGGCGACCACGTGGATCATGAGGTGGTTTTCTATCATGATGTGAATATGATCTGGACGGCATGACTATGATGTTGCGAACGTCATGCACACCACATTCACATGACATGCACAATGACTTAGAAAGTGGACCATGACCTAGGCGACCACATGGACCATCTTGCAGATATGATCTGGATGATGACAACATGGACCATCACTAGGCAACCACGTAGACCATGACCTGTGCGACCACGTGGACCGCAACCTAGGTAACAACGACAACGTTGACAACGACCTAGGCGTCCCCCCATGATGTGGTTTTCCATCATGATGTGGATATGATTTGGACAATGACTTAGACAACATGAACCATGACCTAGGCAACCACCTGGCCCATGACCAGGCGACCACATGGACGATGACATGGTCATGATGTGGATATGATATGGAGGATGACTTGGACATCATGGACCATGACCAGGCGACCACGTGGATCATGACCTGGGCGTGCACGTGGACCATGACCTGGGCATGCATGTGGACCATGACCTCGGCAACCACATGGACCATGACGTGGTTTTTAATCATGATGCGGATATGATCTGGACGACATGACTATGATGCAGCGAACGTAAATGACATGGATAACAATGCACACGACATTATGATGACATGCACAATTGACTTAAAATACATACGACCTAGATGACCACATGGAGCATGACGTAGGTGACCATGTGGACCATGGCCCGCACGACGGCATGGTCCACATAGTTTTCTATCATGATGTGGATATGATCTGGACAGTGTGACTATTCTTCATAAATGACGTGGGCAATAATGCACACGACATTCATG